GCCCTCTAGCCAATTTGTGACCCATCTGACTGTGTAGGCATTGACGCTACAGTCGCCTGATTTCTTAATGAGAGAGAACATATCCATACACACATCCATATGCTCCCTCACCCCACCCCTATGCTTCCATACCCTCCCCCACTACCCACACACCCACAGCTCTCCATAAACCTATACCCCTCACACAATATACAAGACTAAGACTTCATTTTAAGCCATTACATACAATCACCTCTATCTATACTACACAAATGCATGTAAACCAGGACAGAAATATTTTTTGAAACCAAATGAATGAATGTTTTAGATTCATAGACTGTTAGGGGCTGGAAGGGACCTCACAAGATCATCAGATCCAGCCCCCCCTGCACTAGGCAGGAAAGACAACTGGGAGTCAGGTGACCCCAGTGAGGTGACTGTCCAGTCTCCTCTTGAAGATTTCCAGGGTAGGTGATTGCACCACCTCTAGAGGGAGTTTGTTCCACAATCTCGACATCCTGACTGAAGGAGTTTTTCCTAGAATTGAGACTGAAGTAGTCTCTGGGAGTTTGTATCCATTATTCCTGGTCTTCCCCATGGGTGCCCTGGTGAACAGTTGTTCACCGAGCTCTTGATGTACTCTTCTGATGTAGTGGTAAGCTGCTACCATGTCCCGTCTCAGCCTTCTCTTCTTTAGGCTGAAGAGGCCTAAGTCCCTCAGCCTTTCCTCGTATGGTCTGCCTTGAAAGTCTCTGATCATATGGGTGGCTCTTCTCTGGACCCTCTCAAGTTCCTTCACATCCTTGTTGAAGTGTGACACCCAGAACTCAATGCAGTCTCCAATGGTGGTCTCACTAGTGCTGAGTAAAGTGGAAGAATCACTTGCTTGGTTTTACATGAGATGCATCAGTTGATGCATGCCAGAGTGTTGTTTGCCGTGCTGGCTACAGCATTGCACTGACAGTTTATGCAATGGTCAACTATTAGCCCTATGTCCCTTTTGGCCGTGGTGCAATTCAGATTGTCACCACTGAGCCTGTAGGTATGTTGGGGATTATTTGCCCCGAGATGGAGCATTTTACACTTCTCAGTGGTGAACTTCATCTGGTTCCGATTTGCCCACCTCTCAGGTCTGTCCAGGTCCACCTATATCTGTAGCCTACCTGTAGGCATGACCACGCTCCCCCATAACTTGGTGTTGTCTGCACACTTGGCCAGTGAGCTCTTCACCCCCACACCCAAATAATTGATAAAGATGTTGAAAAATACTGGACCAAGCACAGACCCTTGAGGGACACCACTGGCCACTTCTCTCCAGATCATAAGAACTGTCTGGGTTCTACTTCACGGCCAGTGTCCCAGCCACTGACCCATCGAGAAGTTAAGCCCACAATCTTCCTTTTTTCCCATGAGGATATCATGGGATACTAGATCAAAGGCCTTTTGGAAGTCTAGGTATATAATGTTGACCTCCTCTCCCATGTCCAGGTGACAAGAGACCTGGCCGTAAAAGGAGGTGAGATTGGTAAGACAGGACCTGCCTGCGACAAAGCCATGCTGGCTGTCGTTCAGAATCCTACCGTCTACAAATGAATCGCACATAGACTCCTTGATGAGTTTTTTCTAGGATTTTCCCTGGGATAAAAGTTAGGTTGGTTGGCCTATAGTTGCCCGGGTCTTCCTTCTTCCCCTTCTTGATGATGGGCACAATGTTGGCCCTCTTCGACTCCTCAGGGATCTCACCTGAGCACCATGATTTTTTTAAGATTCGCCAGGGGTCCCACAATGACCTCAGCTAGCTCCTTCAGCACTGTTGGGTGAAGATCATCCAGTTGTGCTGAAATGTCTAGTTTTTCAAGGTGGTTACGCACTAGCTCATCATCAACAGTGGGAAGGCTGTCATTCCCACCATGCCCTGTGTGAGCCTTGCATCTTGCATGTTTTTCCCCTTGGTTTAGTGAAAAACTGAAGCAAAGTGGGCATTCAGTAGTTTAGTATTCCTTATATTAGATCAGCACCAATATAAGGAAAATTGACTGTATTGGCAGTTGGCATTTTTTTGCTGATGTAGCTGAATAATGTCACCAATAAATGCCCCATGCATGCGTGCAGCTGCAGCACAGCACAGAGGTGGCCAGGAGTGCAGCCCGGCAGTGTGGAGAGCAGCCGGGTCTGGCTGGTAAATCTGTTGTGAGGAAAGGGGCTGGGGGCAGATCAAGGCCTCAGCAGTGAGGGAGGAAGTGGGGCACAGGGATAGGCGCTGCACAGCCATGGTGGGGCTTGTTTGTGGGAGGGGGCGGCTTCTGCTGCTGCATGCATCCTGGGAGGGCGTGGGGGCTGCATGCCCCCAGATCTGTGCATGGGGTGTGGGCAGGTTGCTGCTGCAGGCTGTGGTCGGGGCTGCACCAGGCTCTTCCCAGCAGGGGGATGGGCCAGGGCTGCACTTGAGGCAAGCAGTGGCACTGGGAGCGGGGGCTATGATGAATTTGGGGGTGGCTGCAGCCCCCCCCCC